TTGGAAGTACCAATCAAGTGCAATGCAATCTCTCGTGCTGACTGCACAAAAGAGAAGTCCACTTTGACAGACATCACGTCATGTATGGACATTATGTCTTCTCTGCTTTGTAGACATGAAAGTTTCCAATAAACAAATACTTGATTGTGTTTTTGTGAATACTTAATTGTGTGAGAAATTTTGCTTTTAAAATTACAATATTAATATTGTAATTTTTAAAAAATTTCTGATGGAGTGGGATTTGTTTAAAAGTTTTGTTGCTTCAGATGTAAGGATATGTCATAGGCTAAAGTTTATAAAATAATAGTTGTAAATGACCTCTCAGATTACTCTCATATATCAACAGTTATTGAATTTGTTCTTTCACACCCAGTCAAAGGTTTCTGTAAGATGACATTAACAAAAACTCCAATTGGATACTGTCTTGATGTAAAATATGTCTTATTGTTAAACATCTTCATAAATGATCCCCAATATGGGAATTTGATTTTCAATCAGCATTTGTTGCCTGGTGTGAATCAAAACCAAGAAGAATTGTTCAATTATGTATGATACTTGTGGATTGTAACAATAGATTTATAGTTATATTGGTAGTGCAGTATACTGTAATAATGTACAGTATCAAAGAATAAACAAATATTTATTTAATAATTGGGCTGCTATTTAAAAAAATTGTAGACCTGTAAATTCCCACTGTCATCCATTCATTTGTCCGTCTTTCCTTAATCTCAAGAACAGAGTTAGATAAAATCCAAGACCAGGTATGGAAACCTTAGTAGCAGGAGGCCCTGATTAACTATACACAAACTTCTGATACAAACTGAAATTTGTGTTATTTCAATTCAAAACTTTACCTCTGAAAGCAGTTAACAGATGACTGGCACGACTCTATTGTTAAAGGAAAAGTATAATGTATAGGGGCAAGACACTACAGTACTAATTTGAAGTGGAGAGCATATATTATAAACTAAATAAATTAAAAATATGATTAAAAATTGCAGCCTGACATGACTTTGTGACGATGTCACAATAAATAATTGCTGGTTTATTGTGTATTGTTCTGAGCAGCCTCATGAATGAGAAATGTTAGCTACAGTTTCTAAAATTTTGCTACAACTTTTTAGTAAAATTAGCTAAAACACTACAGAAAATTTTTTTTCAGCTTAAACCCTGCTTATGCTCACAAATACTATTGTGAACTAATTATAATTTATGAGGAAACTAGATAAAACACACAAGAAGCAAGCACATAGATTCCACAAACATTTTCTAGCTTCATCAAGAGCAAGACATTTTGAAACACACTACAACAAAATAAAGTTACAGTAACTGTATTTTTATATTAATTTATGCAATGTTGATTTTTATTTTTTACAGTTAGAGATTCTTTAAATGTTATGCTAAATCTTACAATGATTTCCTTTCACTATCCATGTGCTCAAGAGAGAAAGAAAAAATATATGTATTGCCACAGAACTACCATGCAATTAAACACGAATCTTTTTTGAATGAATTAATTTATTTTACTCAAAATATTGCATGTACTTGTGCGATGTTGAACTAATGCATGTACTTGTGCGATGTTGGAAAGATCTCTTTTGCACCTGAATAAATATTAAAGTACAGTAGAGCATCGATTATCCAAATCAATTGGGGACAGGTGTTGTTCGGAAAATCGATTTTTTGGATAACCGATTATGTACGAAAAAATACATTAACCTATCCCATGTTGAAATTTGTTCAAATCCTGGCATATCCTTAAGTACATTCTCATGGTCATGCCAGTGCTGCCAGCTAAAACATGCACACCAACAAAAATAATATTGGAGTAGCCCAAGACATAGCCAAAGATTGCAGTGTCACAGCACTAGCGGAAATTTAAATTTGCCGACTGGAAAGCTTTCGATTAATTGATGTTTCAGTTGATCGGCATTTGGATAATTGATGCTCTACTGTACATTTTTTCCTTTGGTAAGAAACTAGAATGGTAGTATTTTGTAACAGTAACTAAGTGGATATTCAGCAGTCCTTCAGAATATCCACTTAGGAATATGTAAAATGCACGTGAAAGAACATTTTATTTTTGTGCAATGCCTGATCATACTTAGCCTATATGTTTAAATATGAAAGTGCTAAAGGATTTAAATCACTGAAGAAATGTATTAAAGGTCTTTGGTATATTGCATAGGCAGAGAGAAAGACTTCTAATGATTGAAAAAAAAAAAAAATTCTAATGTTTTAAGAATGTAAAACAGATTTACCAGTTGATTACAGTTCATATGCAAATACCTGAATGACAACTGACATTTTTAACAATTAATTGCTTAAATGAAATATAAACTTGAAACGAAAGCTTGTTTTGTTGGTGGCTGAATCAGTGATAACGTATTTGCAGAAAAATATTAATTTAATAATTTTTAATGACACATTGATAATGCACAAACATCATGTACATAACAATTGTCTACCAACAAAACAATTTATGAAACTTGTTGAGATTTCACCACGTTGGACATTGATGGAATTTTCATTACAATTGTGTGTGTGTATGCTCCTCAGCCAGGTAGTGGAGAAGAAAAGACAAACTTTTGGACAGATCTTGACCAAGTTATAATGTGTGTTCCTATGAATGAGAGATTAATCTGTGGGAGTGATTTAAATGGTCAAGAGGAAGAAAAAGAATGCAGAAATAAGAGTTCTTGGGAGGTGGAGTGTGGGAGAAAGGAATGGAGAGGGAGAAAGACTAGTCGATCATGCTGTGGCTTTTGACCTTGCGCTAGTTAACCCCTACTTTGAGAAGAAAGTGAATCAACTGGTTACATACATGAGTGGAAGTAGATCCAGCCAGATTGATTTTTTATTGTGTCGCAGGAGACATCTGAGTGAAGTGAAAAACAGTAAGGTGTTAAATGGAGAAAGTGTTGCTGTACAATATAGAGTTATCCTGGTGGATTGTGTTAGCCAGATTGAACAAAGGATCAAATGGTGGAGATTGAAAGAGAAGGAATTAAGGAAAGAATTTAAGGTAAAAGTGTTAAAAGAAATCGTTTCCAGAAGATGTGCAAACATGGTGGTTGCTGAATAGTAATTGCATTTTGAAAATTGGAGAAGAGGTTTTGGGAAAACTTAAGAGAAGAGATCGCCAGAAGGAAAGGAACTTTGGTGGTGGAATGCCAATATCTTTGCTCTACAACAGCTGATGGAAAGGCACAGGGGAATACAGAAAAATTTGCACATGGTGTTCATAGTTCTAGAAAAGGCATATGACAGGGTTATTACCCTGTCATATGCCTTTTCTAGAGATATGAAGATGTTTGAGGGAAAAGAATGTTCCAGAAAAATACATTAGGTTTGTCAAGGAAATGTACGAGGGAGCAGTGATCCAAGTTAAGAGTAGTGTGGGCACTATAGAAGGGTTCTTCGTTAATGTTGGTTTGCATCAGGGATCAGCCCTTAGCCCTTATTTGTTTGACCTGATAATAGATGTGTTGGTGTGTGACGTGAAGTGTGAGGTTCCATGAAGTATGCTGTTTGCAGATGATATTGTGCTGTGTGAACTTTCCCAAACCAAGGCTGAGAAGAAACTGGAAGATTGGAGGAGAGTTTTGGGGAAGAAAGGGGCATAAAGATTAACAGAACTAAAACAGCTTACATGGCTCTGAATGATAGAGATGAGTGTAATAATATTAAAATCCAAAACATGCCACTCCCTTTTGTTCCAAGTTTTAAATATCTTGGGACATTTGTCGAGATGGGAGAAGGATTGAACTCGGAGGTGCAGCATAGAATTCAATGTGTATGAATGAACTTGAGGAAGCTGAGCAGTGTATTATGCAACAAGAAAGTTAGCTGCAATCTGAAAGGAAAATTGTATAAATCAACACTATATGGAGCTGAGACATGGGCAATAACAAGAGCCCAAGAAAGATGGAGGTGGTGAAGATGAGAATGTTGAGATGGATGTGTGGAGCGTCAAGGAAGAATAGAATAAGGAATGATTTTATTAGAGGTTCTGTTAAGATGGGCCCCTTGAGCAAAAAGATGCAAGAATGTAGGTTGAGGTGGTTTGGCCATGTAGAGCAAAGAAGTGACAATTATGTTGGAAAGATTGGAAAACTAGTAATAAAAGAAAAGAGGAAGATCAAAGATGCATTGGAAAGATAAGATGGAAGACTTGAACCAGAGAGGACTTGAGAGAAGCCCTTGACAGGGAGAAATGGTAAAAACATATTAGAAAAGGAAATGCCGACCCCATATAAAGATGGGAAAACGCAAAGATAAAGAAGTTGTTTAGATTTCACCAACAACAACATTACAGGCATAACACCTTGAAATATATTTTATAATCATCAGAAACATATAAACAGTACATCTTTTGGCATTAAGAAGAGCTCACTGTGAGCAGTTTGTACAATAAAAATGAGTAATGGGCCAAATTAATGATTTTTTTTGGGAAATTTGATTTTTAATGATTTTTACTTTTCATATAGCATTGTAATGTGTAATATAATAAATTTCCGTTTTTTTAAGACCTTGCTTATATTCAATTCTAACATACTTCTTAGTGTTTCCTCATTGGAGTATATTATAACCATACTCAACTGTATTTCTGTATCAAATTCCTTTCATTTATTTGTTTATTTCTTCTGTCAGATTTGTTTCATATTTGTTAAACACGATTATGTAAACTGATAGTATTCTGATAGAATATCTCCAGGATGCATGGTCTTTATTCTCAACAGCTTTACCTTCATCAAAATCATAACTCTAAATATGTTTTCACAATTAAATGCTAAGTGAATTAATACAAACTATGGTCTATTTAATCTGAATAAGTATTAATCAATGTAAATCATCAAGCCTTCATTTCCATGTATATATTTATTTGCACTCATCTAAAAAAAATCTTGTAATAATGTTCAATCAATATTTTACTTTCTAACGTGGAAACAATGATTTTGAAATATCATTCTAAACAATTAATTTAATACACGAATTACCTTGTCGTGAGTTTGTTTAGGTTTAGCCAATGATTTAGAATTCGCTGTCTTCGCTGTGGTAGCCTCCATACCTTCTTCATCCATAAAAAATTGTGCAGCCGTACTTCTACGGCTATCTGCTGTAGCATGTTTTCGTGACATTTTAAAACAATGTCTTAACTAGTAATAAACAGTTATATTATGTGATCAGCCAGTTTGATTACAACCAAAAGCACAACATGAACACAGTAGCAACTAGAAGCGCTACTTTCGCTTTGTAAATTATGAACGCTGTTGCCAAGTCCCAACCGGCAGCTCTCCCTAGAACAAAAACAATCTTCTTCTTATTGTTTCATATGGAGAATGAAAACAATTCTCCTGAAAATCTCCTAAAATCTTTTTCTTTCCCCTAAAATTTCCTCCAAAATTTAAATGAAAATTTAAGAATAGCTAAATACATTTTAAACTTAATTGTACTATTCAATAAAACTTTAGATAAATAAAAAAAAATTGTTGCTGGAACAGGCTAGAACTCTAAATATTCAATCATATTTTATAAAGTAAATGTTGCAATTATAACATATCACACGTTCTTATAACAAAAAGAGAAAAGTGTTCGCAGAAGTAAATGTTCAATTCTGCAGATGTGAGAAAACACTCAATATAAAACGTAAAAAATGAAATAAATGCATTAATAATGAATAAATAAACAAATGATTTTAATACTGTCGCGAAAATAGAAGTGCCAGTACACTTGGAGCACGTGCCGCCCCTTTGTCATCGGGTTGCCCTTTTCTTATTCTATTCTCCTTTGTTCATTTGGAGTAGGCAGCACCTGAGGCCATGACTCTAAAGAAACGATGATGGACGCATGCGTCCGATGAGCCGGCCAAAGCTTTCGTATATGCTTGGCCATACGTGAGCGCGGGGGTAATAATGCCTTCCGGGAGGTCTTTGAAGAGAAACTGACCTCTATTTAGGCGTTACAGACGTGGAGAAAACCCGGAAAACTCCACGTGGCCAGCCCGTCGGGGAGCGCGGCGCGAACCCGCAACCGAACTGCCGACGGCCGGATGGCCAAGCGGTCAAGATGGCAGCCTACCGCTCTAGGGGAGCCAGGATCGAATCCGGACGGATCGAAAAATCCCCAAGGATTTATCGGGGTGGTCCGTTCGGATATATTGGGTCCCGTCCTTCACCACTCGGCGGCCCCATTGTGGGCTTGGCCGAACCCATAATGGACTTGCTAAAAGAGGCCCTCTTAGTGCCCACAGGGTGGAAAGAGTTAATCAAGGGATACCTGTATTCACAAACAATTAAAACATAACGTTTTTGGAAAACATTTTTTCCCCAAAAATGTTCATTTCAAATATTATGTTAAAAGAAGTGATGGAAATCTAAATACTGTATATCTAATTCTTATAATCTAGAGATTTTATGATATGTAATTGATTTTATTTATATTTAATTTTTTCATTTGATTAATAATAATTATTTGCCACTGACTGTTTTTAAATTTAAACATTTTAAATTGAACATTTAAAAACAGATTTTATTTGAATAACATAAATTGTTTCTTTTTTGAGAGAGAAAAAAAATGTACGGATCAGATGCGTTTAAAATGCTTGTGTGTTCGTACATCCATTTTCAGAATACAGTAGAGCGTCGTTTATCCGAATAAATTGGGGACTGGGATTGTTCGGATAACTTATTTTTCGGATAACCAATTATGTACGAAAAAATATATTAATTTATCCCGTGTTGAAATTTTTCTCCGTTGCGTGTCGCTTTGCGTTGAATTTTCGTCGATGTTAAGCCTAACGAAGACTATTGTATCATTAAAAATTATTTTTTTATTTTGTACAAACAAAATAAATATAAAAACAATAAAAAATTACTTCAGAAGTTAATTTAGTATCAAAAACGTAAAATATTTGAGTAGCCGAAGACATAGCCAAAGATTATAGCGCCACAGCACTGGCGAAAATTTAAATTTGTCGACTGGAATTCCTTCGGATAACCGACCTTCGGATAAACGACGCTCTACTGTAAT